AGACTGGGATGAAACAAAAAAGGCTGCTCATTTCCCATGTGCTTTCCTGTGGAAATGTAGCACAGAACCCTCAGTCTGCCTTTGGGTTGCCTAAGGGATCATAAGGGATCTTGGGCAACAGGAACCAGTATGCAGATGGGAAAATACTCTGACTGCTTTTAGAACCTCAAACTTTTTTTTTTTTTTTTTTTTAATTGGAAAGTGTGCACACAGTCATGATGTTATTGGAAATTAATTGTCTGCCTTCTCAGGTGTGTATTCTGTCTGAGTCTTAACCACTTGAGAACTGATTCAAGGATTGTATGATTCAGAAACAGTAAATAGTTAGAAAAGCTGTTGGAGATTATGCAGAATTAAAACATCAGTTTCCTTTCCCAAAGCAAAGAGGAGCTTGGGGAGGCTGCGAGGTGCTGGACTTCTCAGTGAAGAATCCATGTGTGTGAAGGCTGGAGCAGAAGCCAGTGGGTTGTTTTACACTTTGTTCCATTGGCTTGGCAGTCCCAGACTGAGCACTGCTGTGTGCCACTCAGTACTCTGCTGTACCAGGGAGACAGGTCTATGACAGCAAACTGTGCACCAAGATGCGTGAGGCCCTGCCAGCCTCCCTGTCAGCCCTAGCACCATTTCACCAGGACTAGAAAGCAGAGAGAGGCAGGGTCGCACTGATCTTCACTTGGCTTGCATAAGGAAAAGGAGAGATGAAGTTCCTGATTTTATTCTCCAGAGGTAGAGCCAGGTCTTCTGTTCCACTCCTGTGCTAAATCTGAAGCAGAGGAGTCACAACTGGGAAGTATGTGGAGAAACCAAGATCTGATGATAGGCAGATAGGGAAGAGCAGGCGTGTGAATGGCTGATACAATACAAATGTATGTGATGTTTACAGCTGTGAATTTTGACAACTGCTAGTAGCTGTGAATTTCAGTGGTCAGAATTTACCGTTTCACTGACACCCTGATTGCTAAGCCATCATTTCCAGGATTTGTTCAGCCATTCCAAATCTGTGAGCAGATTCAGACAGCTCTATTTCTTAAATGAACAGGTAAACCCATAGTTCTCTCTTTAATACCAAACGTAGGTGGTGTTGCCCACTGAGACTGAGCACAGTCTGTCAGCATGCCAGTGAGAGTTGTCATGTCTGTAGAATCTTTTGGTTTATTTTAAGCCTTGTAGGAAGTTCTGAACTACAAAAACAGGAAAAATCCTGGGATCTGAACACCTAATATATTTTTTCCTGGCTGTGAAAACTCAAAAAAAGTTTCAGGCAATTTATACTTCAGACTTCCTTCACTCATGCACAAATTATTTTTTCTATGGCAAAGGAGACAAAAAATATTTTTAATTTTAATTTTTGTTTCCATAAAGGGTAAACAAAGAGAAAACACAGCATCCAACAATATAGTTTTATAATAGGACCTTGACTTCTATCATTTACTATGAAAAGGTCTGCAGCTCCTTACTGGGAGCACTGAGCTCTGCTCTGTGGTGGCAGCAGCAGCATCCGAAGGAATGGCGTGGAACTGTCAGGGGATGTCAGATTGGGGTCAGGGAAAGGCTCTGCCCCAGAGGGTGGTGGGCATGGCCCCGTGATGCTGGAGCTCAGGGAGCATGGGGACACTGCTCTCAGCCATAGGGTTTTTGGGTGGTCCTGTGTGAAGCTGGGGGTTGGACTACAGGAACCTGCTTGGAAGAACTTCATGGGATCAGACCCTACAAGGAAGAGGAGACCAAGAGAGAAAGTCAATATTAGAGCATCTCATCTTCCAGGCTCAGAGTCAGTGCATTTGTACTAGAAGTCTAGCAAGGCAGGAGGCCTGCATGGATGACCAAGGAGACTGTGAGAAAATTCAGACAGAAGAAAGAAGCATACAAATGTGGAAGATGAGACAGACCACGTGGGAGAAAGATACAGATGTTGTTAGAGTATGCAGGGACGTGACAAGAAAGGCTAAGGCCAGTTTGGAATTTAATCTGACAAGGAGTGTAAAGGACAACAAGAAGGGCTTCTTCACATAGGTGCAAAAGAAAAACTAGCAAAAATGTGGACCTGCTGCTGAGTGGGTTCTGGTGTTCTGGTGACAAAGGATTTGGATAAGGCAGTTACTGAATGCTTTCTTTGCTTCAGTCTTCACTTCTGAGATGAGCCGCCTGGAACAGCAGACCCTGGAGCGCAGGGAGGAAGTTCAAAAAGAGACTTGTCCTTGGTGGTTAAAATAATTTGGGCAAACTTAACAGCCACAAGTCAATGGGACCGAATGAGATGCACCCATGAGTACTGAGGGAACTGGTGTCATTGGATGGCTGGTGGATGCTAGGCCATTCTCCACAGTCTCAAACTGAAACACTAGAAGTTCCATTTGCACATCAGAAAAAACTGAGTTACTTTGAGAGTTACAAAGCACTGGAACAAGCTGCCTAGAGGGACTGTGGACTCTTCTTTTCTGGAACATTCAAAACTCACCTGGATGCGATCCTGGGCAATGTGATCTAGATGATCTGCTTGAAGCAGGGGTTTGGAAAGTACCTCTTGAATTCCTTTTGTCCAATCTCAACCCTTCTGCAATCCTTGTAGGTTCCTTTCATTGAGATATTCTATGATTCTGTGATAATTCTATGCTACAGTATATTTGCATACGTGTGTTTTCACTTTCAATAACAAATATAAAATTGAGATAAGATCACCTCAAGGTTTTGTTCTGTAGAGCATGGTACCAATAACCTACTACCAAAAAACATAAGTTTAAGTATATTTCACCAAGATACTCCGCCAATTTGCATCAACACTGTCCTTCCTGTTCACATTTATTGAATGGTTTTTTTTCCCAGGTTATTGCCATCCTAGAGTTAAAAACTAAAGCAATTAAGAGTCTTTTACATCCTCTGTTAAATTGTACCAATTTTTCTCACATGATTAAAAATCTGCACCTATTCCAATCTTAACAGGTCATCAGCATTGAGCCTTTTGATCTTGTAATGCCTTTGTCTGCTAGATTTTAAAGAGGTATCAGAAATTTTCTTGTGTATATGCTTATAGACTCTGATCATATTATGTCTTACTCTTCTCTTTTAAAAAACTAATGAGATAAAGCTGACGAGATGAATCTCTTTAAACCTCTGTGCCAGGAAGATTTCTTTTTCAGAACTTAGATTATTCTTTTAGCTTTTTTTTTCCTTGAACATTTTTGATTTCTTTTTGGGGGGAAGAATAGATATCAGAAGATATCAGAAGTTGGCACAGCATGTTTTATTATGAAAGGGTTGCAAAACTATGTTAAGATTAAAGTAAGTTAGTTAGAAATAATTATTTTCCTTCTCATCTGAATTCATCTGAGCTTTGTGTTGCTCTCACTGGGACTTGTTAACAGGATAAGGATTGTTATGATTAGTTAGATAGCTGCTTATGGTCTGATTGCTTCATTCTAGTTGTCTGGACTGAGCTACTGTTTGCAGCAGTAATAAAATCTTCATAGTGTTGTATTAATTTTCAATAGATCTGTAATGCCGACAATGCACAATAATGGTATTTTAGGGATAATAGTTACCATAATTTTCAATATTATAATACTTCTGTTCCAAAGGCACTTTTTCTAGCACATTTACATGACATTCAGGGGGAAACTTCCCATGATTCATATTCATAGTAAATAGAAAGCTTTTTTAATATTCCAACAAATAATCCTAGGGAATTAGGCATCCGTGGATTGTAAAGATCTGAGTTAGTGAAAGCCATCTCTGGAAGTGTATCAGACACCTTATAGCTTCAGAATAAAGTTCCTTTGCTTAGGATTCATCTCTGGTTTATAGCTTGCTTGAGCAAATCATGTGGCTGTGGTTGGCTTTCAAATAAAGTATTTCCTATGCTGCAGTTCCCATAAATGTGTATTTAGAATAAAACATTAAAATGAGACTTCTTAAATTCAAGTAGCTCAACCAAACCCTGCTTGACTGACTTTGTTGTAAGCAAGCTAACTCTATATGGTCATATTTATAGCAGTTCACTGTCATTTTATAGGATCATTCCTGGTATTGCATTTGTAATGTTATGAAGAGTTCGCGACTGCTTTTGTCTGCCATCGGTAGATGTGATACTGGTTGCAGATTTTTTTTTCTGCACAAGGATATTCTTTGCATTAGTCATGTTCTGTGTTTAGAAAGAACAAGTAGACTTCCATACAAACTGCTGAACATACATTTTGGTCACATGCTTTGGCTCCTGGACCTAACAGGGCTGGTTACAGCAGGGAGAAGTCAGGTAGTTTGAAACTTCTTGTCTGTTTCTGTCACATGTACATTTCCCTCCTTTAAAAGAAAACTGTGATAATGCATTTAATCAGAAAACAAGAGAAAAGGCTCTGAAGAAAATATTTATTTTTTTAAGATAGCAACCTCAAAACAAAAGTTTGCAGTATGACAAGGTCTTTGTAACAAACATTTGTCTGGTAATGATCTCCTAACAGTGACTCCATCTTCCCTCTGCTTATTCTTAATCAAGGTAAGGCAAGTTTCTTTTTTTTCATGTCTTCTGTGTGGTAGAAGTTCAGTTTTCCAAATTTCAATTTCCCTAATAACCCTTCTTTGTATTACCAGAGCATAGGGGGTGTAATTACACAAAGTACTGCAAAGTTCTTGCACATAGCTTTTACCAACACTTTTGTTAAGTAGTCTGTTTTCAATGAAAATACCTTGTCCTGCTTCGCCCTAGTATCATGCTTGATCTTTTACCTGTGGTTGCTTTGCAGGCCAGGCTGTTAGCCACCCTGTACCACACACAGGCCTTTTCCTTCCTCACACGTTTTCAACCTGTGAATCTTAAGCTTACAGCAGATTTGGAATTTCTGAGAGCATGACTTTCTACTTTGTACTATTAGCATTCACCCCATACTCTGTCATTAAAGTTACCTATTTCTTCCCTGCTACTCTGATCCCCCACTGTGACGCTGCATCCCTGTTTATATTAATATGGTTTCTAGTGTTTGTTTGCTTGTTTTTGTTTTTGGGAATAGTGTGAAATAAATACTATATGAAAATAGTATCTTGGAAGGAACCCTGGAAGACTCAGGACCCATTGGCAACTCTGAAGCGCTCAGTTCTCCCCACTGAGATTTTTATTCTCTACTTTGTGTACCCTTCAGCCTCACTGAAAATAGGGTAGGTTACCTGTAGATTATTTTATATGTACACCTTTATCTAGAAAAGTAATTTTATATTTAAGTAAAATTTACGTTTTGTCATACTTCATATTTTTTCTTTAGCATTTCATTCAAAAGCATTTGAAAACTTCGCTGATGTCTGACTAATAGTGAAATAGTTGATGAATCTCTGGTTGTACCTTCTTGAGTGAAGCTGTCTCATTTTAGGATTGGAATTAAAAGGTAAATATATTAAAAATGTATTTCAGAACAGGACACTGAGTTGTCAAAATATTCTAGAATGTGGAGATTTATGCCCTGAGGTTCTCAAACTTTGACCTTTGCCTTCTACAGTGGTTTCTTTTCATATGTATGCTGCTGATGTAGAGTTTAAGTTCTTACATTTTTCAGCCAAATTAATTTCAATAAATAGTTACCATAGCTACCAAAATATTCTTCCATTAAAATCAAAATTGAGTCCAGTGTTTGTTTACCATTTCATTTAAACTAAACCATCTTAGCTCCTTCACTCCAGGGTGATTTGATCAACTCTTTTATAGTGTCCTTGTTGCAGGTCAAACCCATGTTCACAATAGTATCACTTCATGTGAATTCATAAGATGTTTGGAAAAGAAGCCTGGCAACTCTCACACTAACAAGGACATGAATGCCACTGCTGACAGAACACTGATTTTCCTGCCTCTGTCTGGAAACTATATGCTATAGTGATACAATTTCTAGAAGTAACATTATTTTTTTAATCAAGTCCAATTCTGGAATGCTCTTGAAAATTTTGAGCAAACTCACTGATGGTTTGTCATTCCCCCCAAATTATTTTGACTCAGAAATTCTGTTTTGTCTGTGCCACCTACATTTCTTCAACCTATTATGTCCTTGTTTCATAATGGTAGTATGTTTGCATTACTGCAGTTTATTTCTGTAGTTTATTTTTATCCCTTTTCATCATCATTATTCTTAGATTTTCACTAGCTTCTTTTAAATGATACAGCAGACATACAGTTTAATTGTTAGTCTTCTTGCCTCTTCATAGGCACTGATAGAATTTCTAAGAATACGATTTCCTCAGCAGATTTTGTACCCAATAATGTATGTCTTCCATTCCTCAAAGCAAGTTGGTCTAATAAAAAAATACTGCAACAATTTATATGAATTCCAAACTAGTTGGTAAGGAATAGTAATTTTATTTTGTTTTATTTTATTGAACCTGTTGAACTACAGGTTTTGCCAGCTTGCAATAGAATTGGTATTAGTGGAAGATTACCTGTCCTCTGGAAACCCTGCCATTAGTTCCTCCTGACAGTGGCTTTGAAATGCTAAATCTCTGTTGAATGCATCATGTCTAGAGGGTGACAAGGAACAGCTGTCACAGCTCAAGCTAATACAGTTCAACTCAAGCACTGTGAGAATAAAATAATATTCTGAACTTTCCGCGGGGACTGAGTGGTATAGCAGACACCAAAAGAAAAAAAAGCATATCTTAACAGGAAAATGCAAACGTTTTATCAAAATTTGCAGTTTTGTAATTGTGAACAGTAAGTTGTTTGTAACAGCGCGTGTTGAAGTTAAATTCCTGGAGATCCTCATCCATTACCAACAGGGAGAAAAAAAGGAATCATTAAGAATTGCCTGAATCTTCATATTACTAACAGGTTCAATTAGACAAGCAATCTGTTTGCAGAGTATGTTTATGCTCTGGTTGACAGGCATGCTGTATTTTTATATTTCTTGCTGGACTTAGTGCTACTAAACAAATATGTGTTTGCTTATCCTACATAGAAAGGTAGCAGTGACCATAGCCAACCCCAAACTCAATGGTAATGTGATGTTATGGTGGATAACTTATAAATCATAAATGAATTCGTAAACGAAAAACATATTTTCTGAGTATGTCCTTTGTTGTGTGTCATGTTTTGTAAGGAACAAAGATGACTGAAAAAATAACTTTTGTAAATTCTTCTCTCAAGATTTAGATCTTCCATTTCCTTTGAGGGAATTAATGGGTTTAATTTAATGGGATGCTGCCTTTATACTTAATATTTTATACTTTATATACTATATATACTTTATATACTATATATATACTTTATATACATATATATGATATATATATGTTATATATATAATATATGTATAATATAATATATATATAATAATATAATATACTTTATACTTAAAAGTGAAGCACTACTGGGTCATAGTTGGCTTCTGAACAATCATGCTGTTTTCTGCCTCTTTTGGTGTTTGAGATTTTTGTGCCTTTCATTGAAAACTATGAGTATTCTTTCCTCTCTTGATGGCTGGCCTTCAGATGGAACAAGTTGCTGAGAGCTCTCTTGGAGAACTGTGAACTTCTGTTTCCAACAAGCAATTTTGCTGATGGATGGTATGATGCTGTTTATTTAGTATGCTGATGGCTACATAAAGAATTCAAATTTTATTGTACAGGTTTATAGGAGGTGAAGAACATATTCTTTGTTTTTAATTGGCACCTGCACAGTTCTTATGTGTTTTTTTTCTCCATGTGGAAACAGTCTGTTTAACCAAGGCTTTTTTCTCCTATTGACTGATTCAGACATTGCATTATATGAGGACATTTCTTGCTGTTTTTCAGGAAAGTACCTCTCCTACAGACTGAGCTGCTGTTTGCATGTCTGTAACAGCTAGACAGCATCCTGAGGAGCTCCAGGCTAAGTCTTTACTGCTCAAGTTCAAGCCAGGATTGTTCACTGAGCTTAAGAGTGTCTGGGTGAGGCTGGGAGGAGTCAAATCTGAGTCCTTGTCACTTGGTCAGCAGCTATCAGAAACTTCATTTTGTCGATGGAATCGTGAGTGAGAACAGCAGTAAGAGGGGATATATGGATGTCATTCTGAGAAGAGTTTGTTGAGAATATTGCCAATTAATTTTTTTTTTTTTTATTGCCAATTTTAACACACTAAATTAAGGCACGAGAGCCTATTTATGAGAGTATTGATTACTTTGTTGTAGTGATGGCTGATGAGGTTTCCATGCCTTTGTTACTTAGATAAATCAGCTGCTGGTCACTTCATTGATTCAGTTTCAGAGCTTGATGTAAGGAGATCGGATGGATTAACAGTCACTTCATCCCTTTCTCAGAGTCATGTCAGTTTATGTAATTCTTGACTAATTGTTTTGCCGTATCATGCAATGTTCCTATTCTTTTGTATTCTATTTCTTTTATTCTGCACAAGGTTATCTTGATTTCATTACAGAGGTCAAAGCTTCTAAAACACATTTCTTTCATTTTTTGATTTGTTTTGCTTTTTTGTTGTTGTTGTTCTTTTTTGTTGTTTTCCAGTTAACACAAATAGCACAGCCAAATGTCTTTGGATGCAGCTGTGACTTAGGCATGCATTGAGACAAGGTTCCAAAGGCTTGATCTATAAGAGACTGAAATGTTTTTAGCATGCTGGAAACACAAGCAGGAGATCTCTCTCTCTCCTTGACAATTAGAACATTGTCAAGTCTTTCACAGGAATTACATTTCATATTCATTTTGGATTCTGAAGTTTGCACGAAGACTTAACTATTAGTCTGTTTGTTCAGTGCATGATTTTCCTTTGGGCACATGACATTAGCAGTTAGAAGCTTGATTTACCTATCTATTGAACTTTTCACATTTTAACTGTTTCAGATTAACAACAACAAAAAGAGCCACAAACTTTCTAATATTTATGTGTTATAAAAATGTATTCTGTATTTATTTTGATTAGATATGAATAATAATATCAGTATGTTGTTGAATGGAAGAGGCTGCTCAGAAAGGCTGTGGATGCCCCATCCCTGGAGATGTTCAAGGCCAGGTTGCATGGGGCCCTGGGCAACCTGATCTAGTATTAAAAGGGGAGGTTGGTGGCCCTGCCTGCGGCCCTTCCAACCCGGGCCATTCTGTGATTCTGTGGGTGCCAAACCATGCGGTACCTGACGGCAAAATGGCCGCTGCTCCGTGTCTTGCCATGTGAGTGGGTTCACCTGAACTGGGAACGGTAAGCTGGTAGGAACGTATTCCTGCCTGCACCTTCCAGCCAGCTCAGAGGGAAATCAATCTGCTCCCTTTCCACAGGTCAGCACTGTGTGTAAAGGGCATAGAGCAAGCCGCTAAGTCTCCAGCCGCTATTCTCTATGAAGCAAGGTTTGGTTGTCCCTAAACAAAGCAACACCATTAGAGAGAGCACTTAAATACGTGCACGAATAAATCTGGTTCTGCATTCATCTGTAGATACCTGGCTAAGCATTGTGGTTGAAGTCAGCCCCTGAGACAGCAACCCTGATGCACTTCCAGGAGCGATGAAACCGCTGCTCAGATGGCTTCACTCAATTTTTTATAATCAAAGATATCTTTCAAGGCAATAAATAAGTATCTAACATCAGAAATTAAAGTCCAACAAACAAAAAGACCAAAAAAACCCACGCTCACAAGAAGAGTTTGAAAATATTTCTGAACTCTCATTTCAAAAATGACAAGAGCTAATTGTTTCTTTGGTCATGTTGCTTGTATCCTGAATGTTAAAAGGAGTTAACAGAAAAAGGTATCAATTTGTCACAACAGTGCTAATTAATGTTTTACATTTTTTTTCTCTCTTTTAATAGACAATTTGCTGTAGTGAGTGTATCAGGGGTAAGTGAGAATGGGGCTGCAATAGTATTTTTCTCAAATTTCTTAAGTGCTTAATCTACTCTAAGTATTAACCTACTGCAGGGAACCTGCTTCAGCTGGGGAGTTGGAATTGAACTCCGACCGCTACTGTTTTGTGGTTCTAAGATTCATGCTGCATGAAGATTCAAATGAAAAAATGTCTCTTTTTGCAAATTGAAGAACAAGGTATTTTTTAGTATTGGGAAAATGTTTATTCCGCTCAAGCTGTGGTGTACTATAAATAAAGGTCCAGCTGACTAAAAAATTACCACCTGCACTGAATTTTTCATAATTATACTCGGTATATGCTATTGGTATTGAAACATTAGTCAATCTGTTCTCTACTTCTGTGCTTAAAACAATATAAAATAAAATATTTGTCTGACTTGATTCAGACACCTTCTAGGCAAGCAACATAGAAACTTACAAACTGTTTCACATTGGCACAAAAACATCGATCTGTCTTTGTACTTACGCAAGTCCTGCTCTTTCCTGTTTTTATAATTTGTTCTCAAGCAATATTTCAACTGGAGCAAAAGTAAGTTACATCTCACAGTTACAAATGTGATGTTTTTTGGTGGTTTGGGTTTGTTGTCCTAAGCAATAATTGTCCTGAGGAAAGGATGTTCAGGTGGATGAGGCTGTGGGGCAAGAACACTGCAATGTGTAGTGCCTAAAAAAAAAATAAATTGCTCGCATTTGCAGTATTTTAGATTTGCAGTGTGGTGGTTTAGGTCACAAAAGGGCTTTATGCTATAGGAAAAATAATGTAATTGGGATCGATACATCAAGGTTTGAGACCCCCTGCTTAAAAATTTCAGATTATTTCATCAAAGGAAGAACAACTCAGTTGCTGGGACATGTGAATCCCCACTTTGAAGGACAAAGGAGGAAAACTTCATGTTTCAAAAGGACCTGCAATTTGTGGGAAATTGCGGTGGACGGTATTTGCTTCAGATCATTTAGGTTCTCCCTGCCAGGTAAGGAATTTATAATTAATGGGAAGGCAAGTTGTTTAATGGCTTAAGCCATCATACAAACAGGAGGAGGATATGAACTGTATAAGAAGCAAATGTGCAAAGCTGGAACCTCAGGTGGAGAAAAGGAAGTAATGTAAGTGGATAATTTGACTGTCAGAGGGGGTTAAAATTAATCCCTTGATTTTCTCTGATATCAGGGATTCTGGGCTATGTAGAGCAGGGGTTTGCAGTCATAATCTAAGTAGAAGTAGCAGCCCAGAGAATGGGGGGAAAGGGCAAAGTATGGTGATGCTCTTAACTGAAAGGGAGGGCAGAAGGTTATATGTTTCATGATACAGTGAGGCTGGGATAACTGAGAAGAATTTGCTTGCAGAAAGGTATGAGAACTGCTGCTGTTTGCACTCTGACCTTCCATTGTCCCTTGCACAGCATTCAAAAGAACTGTGCCGTTCCCTTGATCTAGTTAAGAGAAAGAAACTGTGTCAAATCTCTCCGTTCCCTAGCCAGCTGTCTTTCAGATCACATCTATATTATATTATAGCAAGATGGTATGGTATAAGATGTACATTAATTAATACTGTGTTGAACATTAACCTGTATGGATAAGGACAATTGCATCTGCTGTAACATAACCCTAAGCAACTCACAACACTTCAGACATAACAGCTCGTGTACACAGTCATTCTTAAGTAACTTTTAACACAGTTATTCAGAATGATTAATGATTCTTTTTCAATAAATAAGGCCTTGGAGTGTGTGTTTGTCATTGTTTCCATATAGTACAATACAGATGGCTGCTCAAGTGATTTTTGTAAGAGGTGGTGGCTTTGCTCTGAAAAGCATTTACGTTTGGGATCCGTGATGTCCACTGATGTAAGTTCTTGTAAGAGCTCCGATATTCAGAGAAAATATAAAATGTACTTTAATTGCTGAAATTAATTTTAACAAAACCTTTGAACTATCTAAGCACTCTGATGAAGTAGGCATTAGATTACAGTTCTGTTGTTATGGTTTTGAACTGTGCATTACAATAAGAAAAACAAAAACAGCTCAAGAAAGGCAAAATTTGAGCATAAAAACCTCCATGTTTCTTGGTTTTCTTTGCACAATGTTATTATGCTTCTTCTGTGCTTTACAGAACAGTATGGATACTGAGGTTGCAGAAGTCAGCTATGTTGAGAGGTAGAAGATAGCTGTTTTGCAGCCCAGCACAATATTGCTGTTCACTTCAGGTCTATCTTTCTGCATATGGATGATCCTGGGTACCCACTTGCTGCATGGGAGATTAGTGCCTCTGCCTCTTTACAGGACGAGATGTTTGTTCTGCACTACACTCAGGCTAAGAATATTTAACAAAGCAGTATGTATGTAGAGGTGATAGGAGACTCATTAAACTGGTGAACACATTTATCAGAGGAACAGATGTAAATACATTTGGTAACTTTTAGTTATGCAAACTTGCATTCTACTGACTCTACAGTCAAATGTACTGATTATTTTTCTTAAGCAGGTCATGCACTGTGCTAGTGACTGCTCAAAAGTAAATATCGCCAACAGCAGCGCAGAAAAAAGCGTTGGACAGACATGAGTAGTATGTACTATATTTCAAATACAAGTCATTAGTCATTAACAGGACTCCAGCTGTTCATGCTAGCATTTACATGTCCATGATGAAGAAATGAAAATCACAGTTGTCTTTAAGCAAAATGTTTGTGTTTTTAGTTCCTTGCAGGTCCTGTTCTTTCAGCTGATTATGGACCTCAGTCTATTTCTCAAGTTTATTGAACTTCACAAGGTTCTCTCCTCGTATTCCCAAGTCCAGCTTTATTTCATATTTACTGTAATGGAAAGAGTGAGCTTGGACATGGAGGTATTCTGAAGAAAATTCTGTTGTTGCTTTTCTGTTTTCTTTGTTCCTTTTTTCTTTCCTCAGAAAGAAATCTGCTTCTCTGCTGGTCAGTTGGCAGAAGAAGAATCCAAGAACTACTGTAGAATGAGGAAACTGGGAAGAACTGACCGATTCCTGTCACTGCAGAGGTTTTTTGCTCTCAGTATTAACAAGAGATAAACAGGTATTTATTACTGGAAAAAAAATAATCTAAAATTATAAATACCAGCAGCAGCCTATCTCCAAGAGATGCAACTCAGTGCCAGTTTTTTGTCCCTTAGGAAAGTTATTTCTGCATGCTGTGGGAGTGCCTCATGAAGTAATGAAGCTATTGTAAATATATATGCCTAAATATGGATCTGAATTAAGAAGTGATTGAATAAATTGTTTTTTCTACATCAATAATGTAAAACATTTTTTATTGGCTGCTTTCTGTTTGTTCTCTGTATAAGAGAAGAAAAGCCAACATCCCAAGAGCAAACAAAAACCTATAGACAAAGCTAGCCATGTTCAGTGCTGAAAACTAAGTTGCGGGCACTAAAAAGAAGTAAATAATGAAGGTTTCCACAGCAACCTAAGTTCTGTTAGTGCAAATTGATGACTTTCATTCTGTTTTATTACATAATGATAGAACAGATACTCTATAAAAAGTGCTGGGTGCATTCGAAGTTGGATTATTCAAAGGTTTTGTGTGCTCTTAAGACCTGACATCAGCTAATTTAGTTCTAGAGGTTTTGGAAAAACGCTGTGTGTAGGGTGTTGTTTTCTTCCTGTGGCCAACCCTGTGTGCTGAAGCTGTGTTTGGGTTAAAGATCTTACTGCTAACTGCTCAGGAGGTGTAATCCTGGTTTGGTTTTTGCTCCTCACAGTGATCTGGGAGGTGATCCAGAAGAGCAGCGGGAGCGCAGCACAGCTCGCTGCCCTTCAGTCAGCAGGGCCTGGGGTGAGCACGGCCCCTGCGTCCGTGCGCCAGAGCAGAATGTGGATTTTGCGGTGTGTTAACCAGTTCCTTGTGAGCAGCTGTGAGATCCAGGCTGTGGCCATTTAGGCGCCCCCACCTCCCATCCCCCTAGGGAAGAGATTAGCGTTCCAACTGTAGCTTGTAGGTAGGTTTTAGCGCTGGTTTTCACTCGACGTCGACCCAGCGGGATGCCGACCCGCCAGGCCTCGCGCTGAGGAGGCGCGGCCCGGCTCTGTCAACACCGCCCCCGCGCCTCGCGCCTCGTGCGGCCGCGCGGGAGCGGAGGGGCGGGAAAGGGCGGGCGGTGCGGCGCGAGCCGCGCGTGCGCGCTGCTCTCCATCGGCGGGGGGGCGCGGTA